TTCTACTTAAAGCTCTAAACTTGCAAAACTAAACAATATATTGTTTGGGGATGAAAAATATATAGGGTTAAATTATACTTCTATTAAAAATATGTGATTAAGTTGTAAAGACAAGGGAATGATAAATATAATATTCAGAGCAGTGTTTACCTCTGAGAGAAGTGAAAGGAATCAGGTGGGGACAGCCATGTAGGAGTCTTATAAGGCAGAAGTGATGTTCTCTTTCTCACACTAGGACCCGGGTGCTAAGGGTTATATATGTCCTCAATATTTATTGTTTTACATGTGTTATACATATTCTTTTATAGCCATTAAATATTTAATTTAAAATATTAAATTTTTTTAAGTTTATTTATTTATTTTGGAGAGAGAGACAGCACACAACTGGGGTGGGGGAAGGGAGAGAGAAGGAGAGAGAGAATATCACAGGCAGTTTCTGTACCATCAGCACAGAGCCTGACAGGGGGCTCACACTCACAAACGGTGAGATCATGACCTGAGCCAAAACCGAAACTAGGATGCTTGACCAACTGAGCCACCCAGGTGCCCCTAGGAAGAATAATTTGTTAAGTAAGTAAGTGTTAAGTATGTGAATGGTTAGACACAGAGAGTAGAGCCATAGTCCCAAGACATTGGCTATGTTGCCTCTCTTGGGAGAGCCAGGTAGATGAGGCTTGCCTATTCTGGTCAGAGAGGAGGACAGGAATCTGGGGTCTGCTCTGCTGTCCTCTCTCAGGCTGGACTGGGCCTGGGAGAAGACAGGAAGGCAGTGCAAATCTCAGGCTGCCAGGGCTTTATTACATTTGAAAAACTGGTCTGCAGATGCCACATAAGATAGAGAGCTCCATCCAGAATCAGCCACCCCACTGCTGATTGCTCTGGCAGCCACATGCCCGTACGATAACATCTTTAATATCCAGGGGGAAATGAATTCCTCTGCTTGGTCTGCCCATCTGGCCTCGCCTCTTGCCACAATCAGTTTATCTGGCAGATCTAACTCTCCTGCAGAAAGAGGAGAAATTGTTCTTCCACAACTCAGCTTTTCATCATGAAAGCATTGTCTAAGTGGCAGGGCCTGGATATTGGTTATTCCTTCTTTCCTTCCTTCCTCCACATTCAGCTTCTGTGGGTGGCTTCTGCTTTGGAGCTGTGCTAGGCTCAGGGCATGTGGAGATAAACTGAGCATGAACCCTATCCTGGAGGAGTGAACACTCCAGTTGGGTAGCCGGGCTAGAAAGCAAATAATCATGGAACCAAGTGTAATAGAGGTAACAAAACCTCGGGAGCAAAGAAAAATAAAAAGATGAAGTCCACCAAGGTGGTGGGCTGGAAAGATTCCCCAAAGGAAATGAATTTTTATTCTCTCCAAAAGTTAACATTTTTTTAATGACTGAAGAAACACATGCAGGGGCACCTGGGTGGCTCAGTCGGTTGAACGTCCGACTTCGGCTCAGGTCATGATCTCACAGTCCGTGAGTTCGAGCCCCACCTCGGGCTTTGTGCTGACAGCTCAGAGCCTGGAGTCTGCTTTGGATTCTGTGTCTCCCTCTCTCTCTGCCCCTCCCCTGCTCATGCTCTGTCTCTCTCTGTCTCAAAAATAAATAAAAACATTAAAGAAAAAAAAGAAACACATGCATATCTCAGAAAAGTGAGAAAAAATAATAGAAAAATTATATTAAAAACACTCTTCTCACTACCAAGACAATTACAGTTAGTGTATTTCAGGAGATACTATTTGAACTGAATCCTTAAAAATGAGTAGGAGGTATTGGTAAATTTCTACTCCTTAAGCTGTGGGTGGGAACCTTGTTGCCTTTAAATTGTTCTTTATAGGGGCGCCTGGGTGGCGCAGTCGGTTAAGCGTCCGACTTCAGCCAGGTCACGATCTCGCGGTCTGTGAGTTCGAGCCCCGCGTCGGGCTCTGGGCTGATGGCTCGGAGCCTGGATCCTGGATCCTGTTTCCGATTCTGTGTCTCCCTCTCTCTCTGCCCCTCCCCCGTTCATGCTCTGTCTCTCTCTGTCCCAAAAATAAATAAACGTTGAAAAAAAAATTAAAAAAAAAATTGTTCTTTATAATGTATATATACATTAAATGTACTCTCTTATTTGTAAACTATCTCACAATTAAAAGGTAAATAAATATCTAGTCAAGGGGCGCCTGCCTGGCTCAGTTGGAGGAGCATGTGGCTCTAGATCTTGGGGTTGTGAGTTTGAGCCCCAAGTTGGGTGTACTTACAAATAAAATCTTCAAAAATATATGTATATAATATCTAGTCAAGGATTTGAGGAGGGCTGGTGTAGATATTTCAGTTGTCACTAAATTTTAACTTGCAAGAAATGCTGATGATAAAACTGGAATCATAGTCCTCTAGTTTTGTTTTGAAAAAAAATTTTTAGCGTCTATTTTGAGAGAGAGAGTTCAAGCACGAGCAGGGGAGGGTCAGAGAGAGAGAACCTCGCATGGACAGCACCGAGTCCAATGCAGGGCTCGTACTCACGAATTGTGAGATCATGACCTGAACTGAAATCAAGAGTTGGGCGCTTAACCAACTGAGCTACCCTGGTGACCTATGTATTTTTAGTGTTTTAAATTGCAAGAAGTTGCATAAAATCACAAAAGTGGATTATAAATTTTTTTTAATGTTTTTATTTATTTTTGAGACAGAGCATGAGCAGGGGAGGGGCAGAGAGAGAGGGAGACATAGAATCTGAAGCAGTCTCCAGGCTCTGAGCTGTCAGCACAGAGCCCGACGCGGGGCTTGAACTCACAGACTGAGATCATGACCCGAGCTGAAGTTGGAAGCTCAACCGACTGAGCCACCCAGGCACCCCTATATAAGTGGATTATAAAAATCAATAGGCCATGGTGGTGTTAAACTGAAAAAACAAAACTGCCAGTTATTTCACCAGCAAAAACAGGTTTATTCAGGAATAGCAGAGAATTGTAATCCATGACAAGCAAGCTACAGCAAAACCATAGGCAAGTTCAACAAAGGAAAGGAATGTTATTTTATGGAGAAGAAAGAGGAAGTTGGGAGGAGTTGTTCTGAACATGAATCCACTGGAAAGAAACAAGAGTTTAGGTGATGACGGTTTCTCTTTGGCTGAGTTGCAGGGGTAGTTGATTTATTGTAGGAGATGCAATCATCGTACATCCTTCTCTGTTGGAGCCTGTATTTGATGATTCTCTTCTGTTGCTATTCTTCTGTTATGCGTCTATAATTGACAATTCTGCCTGTAATTGACATAAAGTGGAATGGTTCCCCCTTCCAGCCTTCCCTTCTAATATCCTCTGTCTACTGTAGAGGTTTCCCTTTATCAATTTTCACAGTGGGCACAGAAATCCTGATGAATACAGATTTTTAAAAAATGAAATGGTATCTGAATGAATATAAGCAATTAGAGATCAACTCAAGTTTCAGCCTCACCCAAAGATTTAAAAAATGTTATCATTAGAGGAATGAATGTCATTTACATTCTGGAAATGGAAAAACAGTTTATAACCCTGTTGATTAAGGTACTACAGACAATGCAAGGTTTAAGATTTTTTTTTTTTAGTGCTGGGGTTTGCATCTATTATATTGTTAAGTGTCAGCAGGGAGAAGCTGCCCCTGATGACTCAGGGACCTCTTGTGAGTAACCAACAATTTATCTGGTCTAATTTGAACTGCCAAAGGTGCTATCTAGTACTTAGTAAATGGTTCGAGTAAAAAATGTATGAACAGAGGAGATTGGCTAGCTCAGTCGGTTAAACTTGGGACTCTTGATTTTGGCTCAGGTCATGGTCTGGTTTGTGGGTTCGAACCCTTCATGGGGCTGTGCGCTGACAGGGCCAGCCTGCCCCGAATTCTTGCTCACTCTTTCTGCTCCTCCCGCTCTCCCTGCCCACCCCCCAGGCAATAAATAAATAAACATTTTTAAGAATGCATGAACAGGGGCGCCTGGGTGGCTCAGTCGGTTAAGCGTCCGACTTCAGCTCAGGTCACGATCTCACGGTCCGTGAGTTCGAGCCCCGCGTCGGGCTCTGGGCTGATGGCCCAGAGCCTGGAGCCTGCTTCCGATTCTGTGTCTCCCTCTCTCTCTGCCCCTCCCCCAGTTCATGCTCTGTCTCTGTCTCAAAAATAAATAAACGTTAAAAAAAATTAAAAAAAAAAAAAAAGAATGCATGAACAAATTAAGCCAAAATCAAATAAAGTCTGAGTTATGACAGAGCGTCAAGGAAAGGCGGGAAGGGGGTGGTGTTTTCCAGATAGATGATGGGTCAGGCAGAAGCAACAATAGACGCAAAGAGAAAGACATTCGGGAATAGCAGGAAAACTGGTGTGACTGGAGGGAAATGGAACCTCAACTGGCCAGAATGTGGTACTGCTGGAGTATCCGACCCAGAAGTCTCTCTGCTCTTTCCCTCTCCACCTCCCTCTTTGGTTCCCCTTTCCCGCTCCCAGCTGGCACCGCCCCCTGGAAAAAGCAAAGGCGGAGGCAGAGCCTCAAGCGGTCATCTCTCCGCCCCTTCCTAAAGGCGCGTGGGGCTGCTGGCGCCGCTTGATGACGTCACGGTCATTGACAGTGAGAGGCCGCGGCCGTGGCTGCTGTCCCCGTGGTTTCGAGCGGTCGGGTAAGGGTCTGAGTCGATCTGCTGCCAGCCAGGGTGCCTTCCGAGGGCGCGGGGGAGGCCCGAAGCTTGCAGCCGGGGCGGCGGGTTTGTTGTCTGCAGTGTCGTGGGAGGGAGTTGGAGGCCCAGAAACCTGACTTTGAGATCAGGGCTGCGGGTGTGTTGGACAGGAGGCTGCGTCCAGGTTGGGTGAGAGGCGCGTCAGTCTCGCACAGGAGTCTGGCGGAATCCTTAGGGTCCAGACGGGGATGAGGGTAGTCGGGAGCTCAGGTTCTGGACAAGGAGATATCTCCAGGGGCTCGGCCTTCGGGGTGGGTGGACCACGCTCACGAATCTCTCTCCCCCTGCCCGCCTGCTTCCAGTGGCTCACGTGGGCTGCAGATGAAGCATGTCTAGACTGGGGGTCTTGGGCGGCGCCCAGGCCGGGTTGGGACTGTTGCTGGGCACCGCCGCGGGCCTTGGATTCCTGTGTGCCCTTTACAGCCAGCGGTGGAAACGGACCCAGCGCCACGGCCACAGCCAGAGCCTACCTAACTCCCTGGACTACACACAGACCTCAGAGCCCGGACGCCAGGGTAGGTAGGAGCCGGTCCTCTGAGGCCACAGTCATGGTTGACGAATGGGCCTAGGGTCCGGGCTGCGTATAGCAGGACAACGGAGTGGGGGTGCATGAGAGTTTCACCTTTTTGTAGTTTATTGAAAAGGAAAGCAGTCTTCCTCTTCTCTTCTTCTTCATATAATTCCAGGAAAGTATATTGTGAAATTGTTTAGCTTTCAGGCTTAGTTCAGGCCACAACGTGCTATGTGTGTATAAAAGGCACTTGCTTAGTGGTGGGTGAAGTGTTTAATAAGTAGAGAAAAAGTCCAAAAGAAGGCAAAAGGGAAAACTAATCTTATGGGGATTGAGTCTTGAGACTTATGTATTAAATTATGTATTAGAATTTGAAGGGAACTTAGAGACTATTCAGGGTTTTTTTAATCCTTCTTAGGAGAAAATTGAGACTCAAAAAGATTATGTAACTTTACTGAGGTTGTCACAGAGCAATTAAGTGGCAGGGCTGGGCCTGGTCACCTGGTCCTGTGGACTTCCACAGCATGGAACTGGGAGTGCATTTATTGCAATTGAAGCTGAATGTGGCTGGCTTCCAGCCACAGCTGAAATGGGTAGTGCTTTCGTTTTGCAAAACTTTGACCTTAAGTCATTTGACCAAAGCATCTAGGGCTGGTTCAAGCCACTCTCCTCATGTGTGTGTAATAGAGGCACATTCATATCCTCTCACCCCATGTTAGTTGGGAATGGGTGTTTTCTGATTACCAAATGCCAGATGGATTGGAAAAGTTAGTTTTAGAAGAGTCTTCAAAGAGTTATCAACTTATTTAGTTTAAAGTTTATTTATTTTGAGAGAGGGTTGAAGGGGCAGAGCGAGGGAGGGAGAGAGAATTACAAGTAGGCTCCACACCATCCTCACCGAGACCAATGCGGGCTGGAACTCACTAACTGTGAGATCATGACCTGAGCAGAAATTGAGAGTCAGACACTTAACTGAGCCTCCCAGGCACCCCTAGAGTTATCAATTTAGATTGCACCTGTTGGCCAGCATTTTATAAGCTGCTGCTAACCTAGTATTGTGAGTGTGCTAGTCTTTCCTTTTTTTCCCTTGTGGTTTGTTTGTAACTTCTTAGCAGTTTTTCTTCTGCTGTTTGGAGAAAGTGGCATGTTCCCAGAGACCTTTCTTTTTTAAAATTTTATTTAATCTCTACATCTGAGGTGGGGCTCAAACTCCACCCTGAGATCAAGGTCGCATGCTCTTCCTATCAAGCCAGTGTGTTCACGCCTCTCCCCCAATCTTTCTTGCTCTATGCTTTTTAAAAAAATTTTTTAATGTTTAATTTTGAGAGAGAGAAAGAGAGCGAGCAAGCACGTGCACACAAGTGGGGGAGGGGCAGAGAGAGAAACCCGAAACAGGCTCCAGGCTGTCAGCACAGAGCCTGATGCGGGGCTTGAACCCATGAACTGCGAGATCATGACCTGAGCTGAAGTTGGTTGCTTAACCTACTGAGCCACCCAGGTGCCCCTCTTGCTCTTGAATAGTGTTGGGTATGTATTGTAATGGGGACCTACACTGTCACTAGATGTCCTTGAACACATTTATGCTTGCCTGGACTGTGGGTCCTGCCTTCCTAGTTCTTCCCTATTTTTACATTTTCCAGGCCAATTGCCTTAGGTAGCTACCAGATGTTAGCATTTATTGTTGGAATTTACCCGAACTCAATTGAGGGCTTGGTAATGGTGTTTTTCCCACGGGGTGTGGATGGGGTATTCCCAGTATACCTTTGCTCTTAGTAACTGCCCCTTTCTTTGCCCTTCTATGATGGTGTTAAATGAAGAGGAGCTCAGAGTTGTCTTTGCTATTCTTTGTGAAATGAAAGATCAGAATTTGAGTTCAATTTTAGTTTTGCTGTGTGTTGAGTATCGACTGCCTAGTATTTGAGAGCTAGGCATGTAAGGGGTTTTGTTTTCCTTTGGCAGGGCAGGTGTCCTGCCTTTTGGGTACTAAAGTCTTGCAAGCATTTTACGTTACCTGCCTTGCTGTGGAAGGTTCTTGGAACAGAGTGGGCTCTTGTTTATAGACTGAGATCTTGGAATTTTTTTTCTTTGAATAGTCACTTGAGACTTGTTACCAGGACCTACCTGTGAACCTATACTGTCTGAGCCTCAAGGGTTTTTGTAAATTGAGCTCCAGTGAGAAGCAAGTGTTCTTGAATTCCAGGTCCAAGATCTTTTCCTCACTCTATCTCATGAGCGTCATTGTCTGCTGTCATTCCTTCAGTGAGGCCTTTGCGGGCAGTCCCAGGCGAGGCTGGAGATGGTGCAGTGCTGCCCAGCCTTCCACGTGAAGGGCAGGAGGAGGTGCTGGACCGCCTGGACTTTGTGCTCAGCAGCCTGGCGGCCCTGCGGCGGGAGGTGGAGGAGCTGAGGAGCAGCCTGCAGGGGCTTGCCGGGCAGATTGTTGGGGAGGTCCGGTGAGTGATGCAGCCTTCTGTCCCGCCTCGCCCCCGCCCCTCAACTTTTCCCAGCCCCTATAGCTTTTCAGCTGAGCCATGTCCTGGCCTTTGCTGCCTGTCCCTAAGGAAGAAGCCAGTTTTACAGCTTCTCCCATAACTGCCAGGGAAGCTGTATGCTTGGTACCTTGCCTTCCGTAAGTTCCTTGCTGCTTTTGGGGCCTCGTGGTCTGTGGGAGCAGCTGAAATGCTTTGTTCTGACTTACCTGGTGTGCCCAATGGGGCTGGGCCAGGGAGCTGCCCTTCTTGTTCTCCTAAGGGTAGAGACCCAGGATTTTGTCCATTCTTGGCCATTTAATGAGCAGCAGTAGTTAAGAGCTTCCCTCATGGGGAAGGGAAAAACAGGCAGGCTGGGGCCTGATGACACCCTCTCTAAAGGGGCCTGCTTTTCAGATCCCACATGGAAGAGAGCCAGAGAGTGGCTCGGCGGCGGAGATTCCCTTTTGCCCGAGAGAGGAGTGACTCTACTGGCTCCAGCTCTGTCTACTTCACGGCCACCTCAGGAGCCACATTCACAGATGCTGAGAGCGAAGGCGGGTGAGTTTTTTTCTCCTGGAGGTAGTTGTGGCTTCAGCTGGATTATGTTTTGTGAAAATATTAATTTATATAGAAAATTCACACTGAGCTGCGTGAATAATTTTTGGAACAAGGTAAGGGTATAAATGAATAAAGCACAGAATAGGTTAAACAAGAAAAACCATCTACCTTATGTCACCCAGCCAAGTGGAATGTTAACAATGCTTGATGCTTGCATCTGTTATTTTCCTCTGAGCAGGTTTTTTTACAGTTACCATACTATTTTTTTATTTTTATTTTTCCTGTAACATTAGTTGGGCATTTTCCTGTGTTATCATAAGGCTTTATAATTTTTTTTAAGTGTATTTTGAGAGCAAGGGAGGGGCAGAGAGAGAGAGGGAGAGAGAGAATATCAAGCAGGCTCCACACTCCCAATGTAGAGCCCAACATGGGGCTTGAACTCAGGAACCACAGGATCATGACCTGCGCTGAAATCAAGAGTTGGACGCTTAACCAACTGAGCCACCCAGGCACCCCTATATATTTTAATTAAGTAGGCTCCATGCCCAATGTAGGGCTTGAACTCCCGACCCTGAGATCAAGAGTCACACGCTCTACTGATTGAGCCAACCAGGTGCCCCTATTACAAGGACTTTATAAGCATTGTGTTATGACTTTATTTCCTGCATTCAGTGGCTGGGCCAGGTTTACAGAGCCCTCCAAGCACCAATGGTGCTCCCCTCTCCTGGGAGCTCCTGTGTTCCCACACGGGAGGCTTGCTCATGCTCCCTTGGCATCTTCACAGGTGGGAGCTGACTGTCCCAAGTACTTGGTAGCTTAGCACTTCTGACCGTAGGCCTTACTGTGATATGGGCAGCAGGCAGGAGTCTGGTGGACAGCCTCCAAACATGGTCAGGCTAAGGGCTTTTCGATTTTAAGCCAATAGTGCCATTTTGAAACTTCTGTGTCAAGGATGGAGTCTGAATGAACATTTTTGTTGTGCCTGATGCTGTCACTGGCAGCTTCTGCCCTTGTCTATTGCTGGCTCCAGTCATCTAGGTGGCTGAGATCTCAAGGCTGACTTTTCTTCCTCCTCAAGAAAAAGAGTGGCACAGAGAATAGCCCAGCCTTATGTGGGGACAGAAGGGCTGATTTAATTATAAACATGCACACAGCCATTCAGCAGTGTTTTTTAGCTGAAACACCTTATGATAGTAACTACTGTTCATTTTTCCTGTGACAGCACGCTAAGTACTTTAGAGGCATTTCCTCACCTAATTCTCACAGGGATCCTATGAAGTAGATGCTGCTCTTCTCCCTGTTTCACACATGGAGACTTTGAGGCTTAGTGAGGTTTGATGCCTTGCCCAAGGTTATACAGCTACTGAGTGCAGGCTCAGCTGGGCTCGTCTGCAGGGGTAGAGGGTCTGTGATCAGGAGGGTCTGTGATTTAAGGCCTGGCTTGGTGGTTGGGGCATAGAAAAGCTTTTTCAGGAAGAAATGTTCCATGCAGCCCTTGGGAGTTCTTCCCATGGACTAAAGAGCTGCCACAGCTCACTGCCCAGGAAAGACCTACCCATACTATCCACAGCTGTAGTATCTGTTCAGTACATCTTACTCAGAAAATTTCAGCCTCATTTTCTTGTTTGGGCCATTATATTCTCCTGCCTGTCCTCATTGGTTTTCTAAGAAAATTAAGAATGATATTATTACTCTCTTTTTCGATATTACTGCCATGGGGTATCTGTGCTGGATTTGATTATTGCTCGGGCACCTCTTGCTACAAGCTTTATCCTCCACTTCTGACTACTGTTGTTGGGGTTGTCTGATCCTTGTTATCTGTATTGTCAAGGGCTCATGGACATGGCCCCTTTCCATTTACCTAATACTTCTGCCTGTTTCCAGAAGGCTGTGTTAGAGGAGGGGGCAAAAATGGAATTCATGTTTGACACATCTGGACTGAAAAGAAAGAAGGACAAAGTGGACCCTGAGACTTAAGGAGCATCTCTGTGCAACCCATTTTTAGCAGGTCACTGGAGGTGGGGAAACTGATGTTTGTAAGAGGGTAGAACAGGAGAGGTCACAGCTCTCCCCAAGATCAGGATGTAGAACTCAAGACTCTTAATGATGATTTTAAGAAGTTGTACAAACTTCTGGGAAGAGTGAGAGCCAGGGTGTTTAACCAGGGAGGCCTGTGGGTGCTTCACTGCTTGGAGTGCTCATTGGGGCTCCCAAGGCCATAAAGGGAAGGACAGGCCCATCAGCCATCTGTGATGGGACAAGAGGAAGGGTGGCTTTCTTAATTATAGCTCCAGCAAGTTCAGCCCATGACCGATCGTATGGCACGTAGAAGCTGATGGTGGCTCGTGGTGCAAGACTCTGGTTTAGCTTGCTGCTATCTGGGGCAGTGGCCGTGGTGGATAATTCTTTTTGCCATGGTCAGTGCCATATAGGCCAAGGGGGGGTTTTGGGAGGAGACCATAAACCCTGCAATAGCTTTGAACATGTGGGACCAGGGAAGGAGTGCTTCTTTGAGGGATGAAATGCTAAGACTATTTGATGCCCTACTCCCCTAAAAGCTGTATTGCCTTTTTCTTCCAAATAAAGGAGCAACTTTGAACTCCCAGGGGATCGACTGAATGTGGCAGAGGCAGAATCGCCATGTGGGTTCGTGAGCTTGTTCCCTGAGCATTGTACCAAACACAGCTTTAGTTCTTTCCTGGTCAAAACGCAGCTTCCCCTAAAACACCAGCTCCTCCAGCAAGCCTTCCCAGGCATCCCAGCCAAGAAGGATTGCCTACAACCCCATTGCCACCCCTCCTTGGGCATTTATCACCTCATTTAAGTTGGTCTTATCTCCCTCACCAATTAGTCTCCCATGCCTGGTTGTCTTTGAATGTTTTAGCTCAGCTCTTCTAATGGGGTTTAGGAGGAGTCAAAGAAACTTAATCGTCAGAAGAAGGGGATATGCGTGTAACTGAGTCCTTGATCACTGACTTGGGGGCTCTCAAGGGCTGGAGTAGGGTAGCTCTAGCCTCCTTGCTTCGAGGGAGCCATGGATCCTCTACCTTGTATGGGAACAGTGTGTTCCACCCAAGGGCACAGCTCCAAAGAGACTTTTCAAAGGTCCCTGCTGGTCCCTGCCAGTCCCTGGTAGACCTCAAAAGCCTCAGGGCATGTTAAACAAAAGGCACATCTCTCTCTCTCTTTCTCCTGTCTGATTTCTCCAAGGCCTGGACTGGTGGTCTAAGCGTGAGAAAATGGTATCACTGTAGAGACGTAGCCCCTGTAGCTGAGCCCTGGCAGTTCACAAGGCTGATGTCTGTGCTTGAGCAATAGTGTGTGCCCACCCACTGCATGCCAGCCAGCCAGGTTGCAAATTAGTGAGGCAGAGCAGAGCTCCCTGAAGCGAGGCTGAGGTGCAGTCAAAGGCCTCCTCACTGTTCAGCCTCACTGCCTCACAAGGACCCACCAGCTCTCACTCCGTGGGTGGCAACAAAGTCCCTCCTGACCACTCCTTTTCTTCAGCCATGTGAGCTCTCTGGAGAGACTATGCAGATGCCTCTGCTGTAAAAGGGGTAAGGGTAGGGGTCCCTCCCTGGGAGACTCCTCATTAGAACTCCTAATTGGAGGGGGTTCAGCAGCAGGCAATGGTGTCTCCCCTTCTAGCAACAGGAAACACGAGACTCCAGCTCTTTGTCCCAGGTAACCCATTTACCCATCTTGCCTCTGGGCCTGGCTGGCATGAGTAGAGGCACTAGTAGACTCTGATTTGATTTTCTCATTTGGGGCAGGCTATTGTCCAAGCTGTAAGAATTGGTTGGGAGTTTCTCTAGGCTGCCTGTGTGTGGTCTTGTTCATCACCAGCCAGGTTGGTTTGTAAAATCCAATGCCACTTTTCCTTGTCCCTTTAATTTCTGAAGTTTTTACTGCACATTGCTAGAGGGGAAAGAACTTGGGTCACATTACTTAGCAAGGTGAAGTTAGGTTTTCAATACCTTACAAGTTCCCGTAGTAGCTGATCCTGGGACGCTTCATTAGAGGAGTCTGGAAGCTCCTTGATAAAGCAGCATGGATGGGGCACTAGGTCTGGTTGCTTATTTGGTACTTCTGGATGGAGCTTCACTCCTTGCTGTCTGGCTTTCTGACCTACAGCTCTCAGCCCAACTTTAAGTGGTCTTGTATTGTCTTTATTTGTAGGTCTCCCTCTCATCTCTTCTTCAGCCACAGGTATCCTGTCCCTATCTTTCATTCCGGGATGGAGGAAGTCTTATCCCTAAATGGCCCTAAGATCCTCCTTGTGCTTAGGAACCTTTTGGTTCTGACAGAACCTGCTTTGCCTTCACTCAAGTCTGGAGGTTGCTCTGGTGTCCGGTTCTAGCCCTTGAAAGTCGTACCTTCTCAGTTTTTGTCTGAGTCAGCTGGTGGTTAGGGAGAACATCCCAATCAGCTGCTAATGAAGCCAAGAGTAACTTGGCCTCCTCTTCAGTGAGTGCATCAAGGTTGGGGGCTCCTAGGAGGCATTTCTTACGGTGGCCCCAGAGATACCTTCCCAGGGGCTTCTGTTTGGATCTTCCTCCTCTCCTGATTCCAGCTGCAAAGTGGCCTTTCCCCATCCCTGGCAAGTTCCTAAGGTTTCCAAGGACTACTCCTATTGTGGTTTGGGTTTGGCTGCTGACTTAGGAGAGAGGTGTACCTTGAATTGAGAAAGAAAACGTTGCTATTTGGGCTGCCCGTGGCCTCGGAGGCTGGCACCCAACCACATTGTTTGTGGCAGGTGCTTTTGGCTGCTAAAACAAAAATGATTGACAGGCCCTTAGCCTGGTGAGAATCTAGCTCAGGAGATCAGTTCCACCTACATTATAGTTTTTATCTTAAGTATGTCTTTTTTTACTTATAAGAATATATGCTCACTAAAGCAGTCCTATATATTAAAAAATACAAAAAAGATTACCTTTAATTCTTCTACCCTGAGATCTACTAGCAGTATTTTGGTACATTACTTTTTAGGCAGCTTCTCTTCTAGGCTTTTTCTGATTATCTGCCTGACCTGGCGGTAGCTCAGCATCAGCCCCTGGCTGCCACAGTGTCCCCCGCTGGTCACTCTTTCCCTACAGGAGGCATCATTTTCCCAGCCCATAGTTCCCCCTGGGAAGTTTTCTCTCAAGGACTAATTTCTGCCCTTAAGTGATAGAAATGGTTTTTACTTGGGGCTTTGGACAGCAGTGCCATGAAGAGCCCTTGTTTGTGGGTGGGGATAGACCCTAGGGCTCTGAGGCTAAAAAATCTCCCTTGACCCTGTCACTTACATTTCTCTGCCACAGGTATACAACGGCCAACGCTGAGTCAGACTACGAGCATGACTCTGACAGGGACAGTGATGACGGGGAAGACGAAGTGAGCTGTGAGACTGTGAAGATGGGAAGAAAGGATTCTCTGGACCTGGAGGTGGAGGTGGAGGTGGCTTCAGGCCCAGCAGCCAGAGCCCTGGAGGCTGGAGGCTCCCCTGGCCTGGAGGATGTGCTGCCCCTCCTGCAGCAGGCCGATGAGTTACACCAGGGCAATGAGCAGGGCAAGCGGGAGGGTTTCCAGCTGCTGCTCAACAACAAGCTGGCGGTGAGGCTCCAGCTCCGTCTGCCCTTACTAACCCCCAACCCTCCGAGAATGAAAGCAGGCCCCTGTAGTTGATAAGCCTGAAAGGTGACCTGGGAAGGGAAGGGAGGGTGAGATGGCTGGTTCTGCATGTACCCCCCAGGGCTGCATGTGCTATTCAAGTAGGCCACGCACTGCCCCCAGGGGCCTAGGTGTGCCTTCTGCCCTAGAGCTTCCTCCCCAGTCCTCTGCCTCCTGTAGAACTACTGCTAAAGAGCTCTCCCTCTTACAGTAGAGAGAAATGTGGAAAGAACCAGAATAGTTTTTCTTTTTATTTCCCTTGAGGCAGAGCCCAAGCTGCCTGCCCTACTTGAAATTTCTGTAACAAGCGTATAGGTCATTCAACCACAGTTCCTTTCTCTGGTTCACTGCTAGAATTTATGCTCACCCAGGTATAAATACCCCAGTTAGAATTTTTCCTTTTCTTGGGCATTTTCACTTTTTCATTGTCAGCAAGACTTCTCTTTCATTGTGCCTCACTTCATCTTGGAGTTGACCTTTATTCCTCATGGTGTCAGGCCAGAATGCCCTCACTCTGAGGGGTTGTGCAATCTCTACTATTGCGTCCTTAGTTAGCTAAGTGCAGGTGGGAGGACATGGGGATGAAACAATGTGTATAAGGCTGGCCTAATGTCAGTTTATAACACACTAGCTTGGAAACTGAAAGGGGCGTGGGGAGAAGGCCAGAGCCCCAGTTCTCTGCAGCTGAAAAGGGGCCTTATCCATCCCTCTGTTTGGTCTGCAGTATGGAAATCGGCAGGATTTTCTCTGGCGTCTGGCCCGGGCCTACAGTGACATGTGTGAGCTCACTGAGGAGGTGAGCGAGAAGAAGTCATATGCCCTAAATGGTAAGTGCTGACAGATTCCTGGTGGGAAGGTGACTGATTCTAGGGGTATAGCTGGCTCATCTGGGGCTCAGGGGAACTACTAAGAGAAGATGTAGGCTGTCAGGGCAGTTGTGGCTCCCTCTTTCACTCAGCACAAACTCTGGTTCCCATGGGCTTCTTCCTTCTTGAGACAGCACAGTCTGTTTCTCTGCACATCATGATTAATACAGGTGCAAATGTTTTTAGGGATAGTTGTATCAAACTAGCGCAATTCTTTGTTCTCACTCCCCAGCTGCAAGAGAGGGCAAAGCCTACTTTATTAATCTGAAGAGGGTTTTTTGCTGTTGCTTAGGAATCTGGTTTGTTACGGAGCCTGTGGGGCATGTGTTCTAAGAACAGGAGTGGAATGTTCGGTGAGGGCCTGTAAGGAGTAGTTTGGAAGACTACTGCTAGCTTAGGAGTCTTTGGGATCAATTTAGCAACTCTGTTACCAAAGTGTGTATCCTGGGAGGTAGGGTGCATCTGAATTATGCCAAGTTCAGGGCTCTTCCCTGTCATATCACTGAGAATCCTGGGACTTTGAGAAATGACTGGCTTTGTGGGGAAGATGGGTCCTGCCTAGCCATACAGCCCAAGTCAGGCACCATCAATAGACTTCTAGGTCTTCTTCAGTTATCTAAAGTCAGTTGAACTATCCAAAGTGGACATGTCTACTTCTTCACTTACAAACATTGAGTCTTTGCTAATGTAGAATCTGACATACCTCAAGGTCATTTGTAGAATTCTGTCAATATAGAAAGACTAGGCCAGTTGAGTTGAATGTTTATTGATATTTTCAGAAAAATCTCCAAGTTTTAACAGAAGGTGCTTAATTTCTGTTTGCTTCTTCTCAAAAGCTTTTGCTTTCCCTCCTAAATTTCAGGTGAGGATTCTGATCAGCTTTTGGGCTAATATCTGGACTCTTGGTATCAACAAGAACCTTTCTTTTTGATCATTGATCATCTCTTATTAGTACCAGTAGCCAGGATGAAACCTGAAGGTGAAGGTAGAGTGGTGATTAAAGCAGCCATAGCCAGTGCTCTGGTCTGGTCTGCAGAGCTTAGCAATTCTGTACAAGTCTACTCCTGCTGGAGGACAGACTGAACATCTTTGGAGGCCCTGCTTCTAGAATCATGGCTTTTTTAGGACCATCCTTGATGTGTCTAAAGTTCTTCATTTTGTTCTATCTCTAAAAGTCGGACCACCAGGAGGAGGCCATTGTGTGGGATCTTAGGTGATATCTTTTCACCCTCATGTCTAACTTGGCAGGAAGAAACTCTCAGCTCTGATTTTTCTATTAAGAGAGTGCTTTGAAGTGGGCAGGGAAAAATCCACTAAGAGACCATATCCTCCCACTGATGGGGCCACAGTTGGTCATTGTTTAGAAAGGGGAGGTTATAGGGTGCCTGGGTGGCTCAGTCAGGTGTCCTACTCTTGATTTTGGCTCACATCATGATCTCAGGTTTCGTGGGCTCAAACCCCATGTTGGGTTCTGCACTGAAGGTGTGGAGGCTGCCTGGGATTCTCTCTCTCCCTCTCTCTGCCCCTCCCCTGCTCATACAAGCCCTCTCTCTCAAAATAAAAAAGAGTGGTCTTAACAAGGGGTGGAGGAAAGGTTATTGGGGAGGGGTGTTATTTCTCATCAGCCATCTTAAAAATGTATTTGTTGCATATGCAACTTTATACCATAATTATAATTTCAGCATGAAGAAACATTTTACATCAGCTAGCCTATCACCTCAACCCATTACTTTTGTTCCATTTTCTCCATGTTCCCTTTGAAGCCCTCTCGGCTTTAATCAAGAAGTCCTACTTTGCAGTGTGCTCTTTTCTCCAGTGTTGTAGGCATGATGTTCTCCAGCTAGAGGGCTCCAGGCTCCTTGTTAGCCTAGAAAATTCTTGTCAAGAGCCTTCATGTGTTTAGGCCTTGATTTCTTTATCAGTCTTAGTGCCTAGAAAACTAAGTGAATGTCATCTCTGGTCAGACGTTGGTCCATTTGGCTCTGGTGAGGAGTTTTGATCTAGAGCTGTGTTTAATCTTGGAACACAGATCCATTAGAGAATGATTAAAGCTGTAGGCCCTCTCCTCAATAAAATGTACCTGTAGGTAAAATTTTATACAACTCCAGAGAATACATGGACACCTTGAAGCCTGTCCACAACCCTCTAAGATAAGGTCTGTTGGGAATAGTTTGCCATTGGGTTGTTTTATATTTAAAATGCTTTGAGGGGCACCTGGGTGGCTCAGTTGGTTAAGTGTCTGACTTTGGCTCTCACAGTGTGGATTCTAGCCCTGAGTTGGGCTCTGTGCTGACAGCTTAGAGCCTGGAGCCTGCTTCGGACTCTGTGTCTCCCTTTCTGCTTCTCCCCAGCTTGTGCTCTCTCTCAATAAAAAAAAAAAAAAGTTTAAAATGCTTTGAGCACATCAGGTGGATGCTGTCAAAACAAAACAAAACAAAAGGTAGCTGGGCAGCTGATGACAGAGACAGAAAGCTTCTCAGGGATAATTTCTGCTTCACCTCGCTCTATTTATAGCTTTTCATTCTGGTCAAACTGAAAATTATTTCAAACAAATCTAGCCAGGATAGGGATTAGTAAGAGCTAGAGCAGTTATTGTTGCCAGAGCCCCTGCTGTGGAAGTGTGCATGGGAACCCTTGTCAACTCTGGATTACCTTTGTCTTACAGGAAAAGAAGAGGCAGAGGCTGCTCTGGAGAAGGGGAATGAGAATGCTGAATGTCACCAGTGGTAATAATCTACAGGGTCGTGGGAAGAGTTAGCATGAGTTAGAGTGGAAGAGAGCCATTTCTCTGCCCTGACCACAAAGGCGCTTGCCAAAGGAGACAGGAGAGGGAGCAGGGACCTGGGGGGAGGGGGGGGTCGATTTTTGGAAGGTGCCTTGGGAGTGAGGCAAGGGGAAATAGGATTTGTTGTTGGGACTTAGAGAAACGCATAGCTTTTTAAGAGTTATCCTAGCTACAAAATTTGTGGGTTCTTGGCTCTTCAAGGAAGCTGGCACAGTTTGTAGTTTGTCCTGCACAAGCTCTTCTTTCCCCTAGCTGCAATCCCTGGCTGGTGGTGGACTTTGGCTTCTTTGCTTGGCTTGCATGAGTTAGTTTATCAGCTTAAAAAACATCAACCCTGTTTGTGGTCTTTGTCAGGCAAGGTTCTGCCAACTTCCACGGGTCAAATCCAACTGGTGTCCTAGGGCCTGTTTCCAGCACCTCAAGAGTTTTCAGTGAAAATTCTCTTCCCACCTCTCCCTTGCTTTCCATATTTCTGCCCTCAGATTGTCTCTGCAAGAGCTCCTCGCAGGGATCAGGTCCTTGGTGCCACTTCCCTGTGTTCTTCCTTGGGGCTCCTGGACTGCCCAGGATAGAAAATAGCCTTACACTTTATTCTTGGAGAACAGCTGTTTGGGAGGAAATATGGAAATGAGCCTCTGGAAGTATCGATACAGATGCCCCCGATATTTAAGTGAATAAATGAAAAGGCAACTTGGGTCTCTACACACTCATTTAATGTCAATTGTGCTTCTAGAAACAATGCTGGGGAGATAGGGTAGTAAGATGTTTGTTTTTGAAGATGGAAAGCTGGCTTTGTTCCCTGATTGGCTGGGAGGATATAAATCTGAAGCCTGTCTTCATCAGCTTCTGTTGGTTCCCAAATTAACATTAGAATTTCCTAGAGTATCCCATACCAATTTGTCCACGAGTACAGCTTCCCAGGGACATACTTAAATACTTCTAAAGCTAATGTAGACCTTCTTTTAGTGTCTGCTCAGGAGATGATAAGCAATGTATTTAGGTCCCTTACGTTTTGATGATTATTAGATCCACTTTTTAAGTTTTTATGCCCCCGCCATGGCTATATTCCTTACATGGAGAAATTAGTGGAGATTTGGACTGAGACATTGCCTAAATGTTAAGTAGGAGAAGCTTACTGTGGTGGGACCCCACTTTTTTTGTACCTAGCATACTTTGGAGAATTGTGAGCCTACCGGTGTTTGTTAAAGAATATGAATTGGGACTACAGATTTATGAAGAGAGTTTTATACATATAAAAATGCTATTTTCAGCTCTGAGGGGGGTAGAGGGCAGTTGATGAGAAGCCCATTCCTTGTCCTTGAGCTCGCTGCCACTTTCCCCCTTAGGTATGCAGTGCTTTGTGGTCAGCTGGCTGAGCATGAGAGCATCCAGAGGCGCATCCAGAGTGGCTTTAGCTTCAAGGTGAGGAAAGGCTTCTCTTCCTTCCCTTGTACTGCTCTATTCCAGATTGCCTGCTCTATCCCAGCTCCTTGCAAAGGGTGCTCCTGCAGTGTCTACGACTTGCTCTTCCTTTAGCAACTCTGATGGTAGTTTAGATTTACATTTTTCCCCTCAGGAGCATGTGGACAAAGCCATTGCTCTCCAGCCAGAAAACCCTATGGCTCACTTTCTTCTTGGCAGGTGGTGCTACCAGGTAAGCTAAATTCTGGGGCCTGGTATCAAGGCCCTAAGTGTCCCGTGACACTGCTATCCTTGCAGTGAAAACCTGCAAGCAGGGGCCGCAGCCTGGTCTGGCTCAAGTACCCATTTCCTCTGAATGGTTGTGTTATGGGTGACTGGACCCAGCCCTATCTGACCATGTTTTAAGTACAGAATATTTGATGTTCTTAAATTTACACCTTGCTCTTTTGGTGGCAGGTCTCTCACCTGAGCTGGCTAGAGAAAAAAACTGCTACAGCCTTGTTCGAAAGCCCTCTCAGTGCCACTGTGCAGGATGCCCTCCAGAGCTTCCTAAAGGTACCGGGAAGGAAGGGACAGATTTCTGGTAGGGGGCAATTTTCTATGGGAAAATCAGAACCACTTGGATAGCTTAGAGAGTTCCCTGGATGACTGGATCAGTCTTTGGGTTGGGAACTGGAAAGCTCTATTTAATAAACCTCAGCCTGACTTGAACATGGTAATCCCCTTACTGAACCGCATTCCTCCCTTTTCTAGGCTGAAGAACTACAGCCAGGATTTTCCAAAGCAGGGAGGGTATATATTTCCAAGGTAAACTCACCTGCCTTTTTCAACATCGATGAAAACATGTTATTTGTGGGAAGTCCTGAAAGTCCAGGTTCTGGTGGTATTTCTCCCAGGTTTTCACTGTTGTATCTTTTCAGTGCTACAGAGAACTAGGAAAAAACCCTGAAGCTAGACAGTGGATGAAGTTAGCCCTGGAGCTGCCAGATGTCACCAATGAGGTAATACTTTGAAGAGCCCTTGAATCATGTGACCTTTTTTCAGGAAAGAATCTTCCCTAGAAAATTGTATATAGGTTCTTTTATATATATCTCACCTAGGGGAGGAGGCAGATTTCATAGGCTGTCCTGCGAAAGTAGGTAAAAAGGAAGCAAAGGGCCCTTCTCAGGTATCAGTGGTTGGGGAAATGTTAGATTTTCAAGTTCTGGTCTAGTTTTGGTTTTATTCTCTTGTCTCCTTAGGATTCAGCTTTCCAGAAAGACTTGGAAGAATTGGAAGTAATTTTAAGAGAATAATATTTCAGTGGCCTTCATGACTTGAGGAAGACTGCCCTGCTTATTAGATCAGGAATCTAAGACTGCTTAAGTGAGGGTCCTGACTCCCGAGCCTGGCTGGTATCTATAACCATTCCCCAATTTCTTTCCTTGCCCACTGGTTAATTTATTCTAATCCCTTATCTAATCTGAAATTGGGGAAGTACTTGAGGCCTGGATTTCTGTAGTTCTCTTAAGTGAATTCTTGAAAAACCAAGACTAGCACCGAAGGCTGCCTTTAGCCTGTAAGTGGATGAACTTCAAAGAGCTATGGGAACAAAACACAGAACTTGTACTCTCTAATCTTTTCTACTGATTAATATTCAACACCAAAGTATATAGTCCTAAAACCATACCCTATCATGGTAAAAGGAAAGGTCATAGCAGCCCAAGAATATTGCCCTCTTCTCCCCTATCATGTGAATTCTAACTATATTCCTGGGCTGAGGGGCTGGAACACTTGACTTCCGGAATAGAATCCCAGCAGCTTTTAGAAGGGCACAGTGCATACGACAGGAGACTGTGAAATGATGATCTGAGGAGTTGAGTTGCCTGGAATATATTTTGGTACAAACTTGAAATAAACCAAATTTGATTAGAAGTGACTATATTCCCCTTTCTTGCTTGACATTTCCATAACTACTTCCTACTACAGAAGCTATTGCAGACAAATAGCACCTAATAGTTTAAGCTCTTTTCAGTGGAAATTTTAGTTACAAGTAAAAAAGGCTGGCCAAGGTCTATTCTAACTAGTTGACTCTTATGGCTAACAGCACAAAGCCTAATCTCACCTGTGATAATTCAGACAAATTTATAGGACTAAAGGATTGAAATCCTTTTACTTCCATTCCAGAATCTGCCACTCTGGCTTACTATATATATATGTACCATCCCAGGTTTGTTTTGTGGTAAAGAAATGAAGGACAAGACCTGAGAGGTACTCCATTCTTTAAACAAAGCTGCATTAAATTGACTGTGTCTTCCTATTTCCCTACATACAGTAGGATCAACACAGGCAACAGCAGAGATTTTCTATGCCTCTCCTTCCAATACTAGCCGAGAGGCCCTCTGAAATTTGAAAAGCTGGTTAAAATTCAACCTGAGTAGAAGTCTGAAGGGGAAGAAGAGAAGGATCTCAAACCCCTCAAGTAGAATAGTATGGACAAGTATCAGGAGTCTATAACAAAAGCTTAATACAAAGGCCATGGGAAAGTCATTGGATATTCATCTTGTAATATCTATTACATTGAAGGCTAGTAAGCTAAATCATCTGAATGTATGACTTCCCTTTAAAATTCTTAATTTTAAAGCAATAGAAACTGACCAGTTAGTGCCAATAAATTATTTTGAAGGCCCTCTCAAAATATTCAGCTTACACCAAAATAACTCCTATAAACCGCACAAATAACTACTTTATTAGTAGCCCCACACTAAATCTACTTAGAGCTTCTGAAATGATTAAGATTCCAGAATTATCTTGAGTTACTCTTAGCAGTTAAAAAAACAAGCACATAGATGTTGAAGGGCTGGTAGCCCAGTAGGCCTGCTCAGTAGCCCTTAAATAAAAACAAATTCTTCTATAATTCAGGCAAACTAACTTAAAAACCCACTTCTGACAGTTTTACTGACAAAACCAAAAACAAACAAACAAAAAAAAACAAAAACAAAAAAACACACCAGTGAGGAGACCTACTTCCTTTGCCACCCAGGCATTTCAACATTGTTCAGATAGAGAAGAGTCCAGTCTCACCAGCTTTTGTCTTCGAGGGAACTAAAGATTGGCCAGGGGAACATCTGTTAGTTTTGAGTCAACCCTAAGGCACGATGTCAAACATCTTCCTTACTTCCCCCCAAATAATTCACATAGACATTAATAAACTCCAGACAGAATAAACATTTCCGATCAGTTTGTGACTACTGACCTGTCTCCTGTTTACACCATCAGAAAAGCTGATAGAATAGGTGTTTTTCCAGAAGCCTTTTTCTGGCAGGAAAACAGGAAGAGGCCTGTGAAGAAGACCCAGGGAGCAGTCCTCTCCATTAGGCTGTAGCACTTAAGCTTTATCACAGGAAAAGCCCCAATGAATCAGTCTTTGGCATCTCCCACTCCATCTGCATTGATGGCAAACATAGCTTCAGCTTCAGGAAGACAGGGAGAATCGTAGATTTTGCAGATTCTGGTTTCCCCTCTTCCTTTCCTCAGATACAGTCTGACCCAAAGAAACAGACCAAAGTTATTATAATTTTAAAATCTTTTTCCTATTTATGGTAGATATGAATTTTTTTCCAGATATATATACTTCCTAGGACTTTGGGGATCTTTCTGTATTCCTTAGGGACATTTACAACCTAGAGGAATCAACTTCTATCCTGCCCCTACCTTAGTGAATTTAACATTTTGAAATAATTACTTTTTTACTAACAAGGAAGAGGCCTTTCATATTCATTCTTTCATATTTGGGGGCTTTTCATTCTTTTGTAAACTAAAAGCAAACATCTGTACTAACCAGGGCATGACAATTAGATTTAGCAAGGGCTCCTGTGTCTAATTATACAACAAAAGCTTTAACCAGGTTTAATGGAAATGTTATATCTTCATGTTTACTTCAGTTAATATGACACCCCAAGACAAAATCGCTCATCCCATCACTTTACCTGGTTGTTGAGGCATGAGCAATGATATTTCCTCCAATAGGTTTTTTAGGATCTGCAGCAAACATGGCTGCTCCATCCACTTGGGCTACCACCTGGTTGGTGATCACCACTGCTACACCAAACTGATGGGGGAAACAATAAATGTCATTTTTTGTGGCCAGATATTCAAAGAACCCTACTGTTGCCACCCCTTTCCCCACAAAGTAAAGAATGATTAATATATATATCTCTTCCTATCTGTTATCTTCATGACACCAGGTACTGATGTTCTGATCTCCCAGCAAGGACCCTGAAACTTAGGCATGGTCTGTCCCTATCCCACAACTTACCTCATCAGCAAGTCGCAGAAGCATCCGCAGAAACCTGGCCAGGTGCATCTGCCTGGCTGAAAGTTCCCCTCGACCTGAATAGTCGGTTCTGTAGAGGGCAGTGGCACTGTCTACAATTAACAGTGCATACCTATAGGAAACAAGGACTCTATGAAGCCTATTTCTAGCCTGTGTCAGATTCTGCTCCCTTCCTTACTACCCTAAACTTTCATATTCATAGTTATATTCGTACATAAATGTGTTAATTAAAATATTTGTACAGTATTCACGTCTGAGGCACTATGTAATAAGTAAAATTTCCAGTAAGTTCAAGTGGACTATGGCTTCATCTTTTTTTTTTTTGGAAATAATCTCTACACTCCACGTGGGGCTCAAACTCACGACCCCGAGATCAAAAGTTGCATGCTCCTCTGAGCCAGCCAGGTGCCCAGTGGTTTCATTTTTTTTAACACCGACTTGACCTGAACCCACAATGCAAGAATGTGGAACTATAACTTACACCTCCCCTTTCTAATTCAAGTTACTATCAATTCTGTCACATAGCCTACATAAAATTCAGGGTAAGCGCTCTGGAACATATTCCATGTCTTCTACTGAGCACAGACCTAGATTCTACCATCATGGCTGATGCTTGATAAAGGAGCTGGGTCTGGTGGTCTGTGTTGAACCCTCGAGCATATGCTACATTATCCAGGACATCACTGCCGGAGAGACCATATCTAGAAGAGAATAGAGAACATTTTTAGACTGCACACAAAACTCAGGCAGACTTGAAATTAACAAAGAAATTACTTGGATGATTAGGCAAGAAATGTTATGACCAAAGAATATTAATTCCTTTTTTACTAAAAGCAGAAGGAGTAGATCTACCAGGCAGGACTTCAGACTAAATCAAATTTAGTCTTTGAGGACTCCTGAGCCAAAATAAGAAATTTTTAAATGTAATGTTCCAAATGTTTCCCGGAAAAACCAAAGCAACATGACAGAATTGGAACTGAAACAAATCATCATTCAAGTCAATTAAATTCATGTAAACTATTGTTATACAGGAATAAAACATTCTGAACAGACTCAACTTGAAGAAGTTCAAGAGAAGTGTATTTCGTTTTTTTAAATAAAGGTTTTCACTTTTTAAAGTTTGAGAGAGAGAGTAAGCAAGCGAGTAGGGGAGGCACAAAGAAAGGGGGAGAGAGAGAATCACAAGCAGGCTCCACACTGTCAGGATGGAGCCTGACCCGGGGCTCTATCTCACAAAGTGTGAGAGCATGACCTGAGCCAAAATCAAGAGTCGGACACTTAACTGACCGCATCACCCAGGTACTCCTGTATTTCATTTCTTCTATTTTCTTTTCTTGCTAGTAACCAGTTACAGTTAAGATAGATTATAAGACATGTATCCAGTATGGTTAAATAAGTGATACCTTAGTTCATCATGTGCTTCAATAATGATTTTTTCCTTTGCATTTTTTAAAGTTTATTTATTTCCAGAGAAAGAGAGAGAGAGCGAGAGCGTGCACACATGAGAGCGGGGAGGGGCAGGAGAGTGGTGGAGAGAGAATCCCAAGCAGGCTCACTGACAGCTCAGAGCTGGACTTGGGGCTCAATCCTATGATCATGAAATCATGACCTGAGCTGAAACCAAGAGTCAGACACTCAACTGACTGAGCCACCCAGGTGCCATTCCTTTTGCATTAGCATATAAGAGGACCTTTTTCTCTTACTGTCTCAAACTTAAAAAAAAAAAAAAAAGGGCAAGTAAGATATCTTCTATTTTCTTAGAATAATCTTTTTTTTTCTTATACCTCTCTAACTGCTACCCTAAGATTTGAATGCTCAAAGTGGTATGAGTAGGACAACTTTTATTTTCATTAAATATACCATAATGGAGACCCATTTCTTCAAAGATATTTTGATTTTATCCATCTATCAAGACACAACTAAATGCCTGCATTTTTACAAAGGTTCCCCCTGCACCTCTCAAATAGATGTGATTCTCCCTCTTGTGCACTTCTAGAAAATTTGGTTTAGGACTTCATATGGCACTTTTGAGGAGCCACCCTACCATTCTTTTACTAGACTACAAATTTCTTGAGGGAAAAACTTGGCCTCTCTTACCTAGCACATTTTTTTATACCTAGTAAATTCTGAATAAATGTTACTGAATAAAGCTTTTATCTATAACCCAAAGAGAACCATACTACTATACCCAAGTAATATTTTCATATTAACGTCACCTAAAATCATTACAGTTCGAAAGTACACCAACTCACTTATGTCATAGTTTAAAAGAGAATCTGTTTAAACAAAATCAAGGCACTGTAATTCTTTGAGAACCATAAATTTCTATGTTTATGATCCTGTCAGTCTTTTATAGAAGCAGTCTATGTGGAGACTCTGATCTTTACAAAAGCATGCACTGCATTAAACCTATTCTTCTGAGATTTAGCTTAACAGTTTTCCTCTGGCTTTTCCTCCCCAACAGAACAGAAAAACAGGAATATTCTAGCACTTGGATAGAACATTGCAATGAGGTAAACCTCAATATCAGGATATCTCCTCTAACCAACTGAATTTTCCACATCATCTTTATACTTTATGGACATTTCACCTGCTATTCTTTGTCATTATCAACACAAGTACATGTTCAGCTTTGGCATTAAGTGGATTGATGATAATGAATTATTAAGTCTGAGCATGAAGATAATGAGATGCAATAAGGATAGAGTTTTATCTGGGAATCCTGACCAGTTAAACTGGAGATAAAATTTTCCATATTTAAATCATGGCTGTAAGAAAAAAAGATTCAAGAGGCCTAAGTACTGCACTACGCAAGTCTAGATTTGCTGAAGAAACATTAATATCATCTATCAGGAAAGTATCTTTTACTATAAGAATAAGGATGGTTCACCAGAAAAACAAAGAGTTACTCTGGCCTGTCAGCAGCATTCACAAGAAACACTACAGGGATCTCGATGCTTACATTCCTGAAGCAGTACATGGAATTTTCAATTCCCATAACATGGAAAAAGTTGGCTAGAAATAAGTATCCTCTCTCATAGTGTCTCCAGAACTTCCTCAAGAATAACCTGGAACACTTATAAAAAAAAATTCCCTGGGCCTAACCAAGACTTAATAAATCACAATTTGGGGGGAAGAGGTACAGTAATTTATATATTTAACAAATACCTCAGGTGATTCTTAACACGTAAGTATGAAAAACAGCTATATGGGCTTCAAGGGGGTTCTGGCATTCTTTGACAGTATTTAAAAGAACTTTCAAAAAAGGTGGTGACACTGTAGCTAGCAATTATGGTCATGGCTTTTAAACTTTAGCAAGCATCCAGATCACCTAGAGAGCTTGTTAAAACATTGCTGGACCCTATTTTGATTCCCTAACAATTTCTGATTCAGAAGAATGTGAGTGGAGTCAGAGGATTTGTACTGTGAACAAGTGCCCAGGTGATGCTAATGCAGCTATACTGAGGACTGTATTCTGGAGAAGCCCTGAGTTATAGTAACGTGGATGTGGGTCAGTATTCTTCAACAACTAAAATGAGGGTTGTTCTGTTGTGAAGGGAAATTAGGTACTAGCTTAAGGAAGTGCTGTTACTTTCTCAGAACTATCATGTAAACGCAATATACATAAACAGAAATTCAATTACAAAAAGTTTTCTGATAGGTAGAAGTGATAAAATAGACTGACATTTTTATTTAAACATATTTTTCCTTGCTTGCAACTTTTTTTTTTTTTAATTTTTTTTTTT